TTGTTTTCAACTGTTCCATCTGTACAGTGTTCTTCGCATGTATTGCATATTTTGAGGATGCACGGGTGCCAGAATGTGATAGTTTTGCATGGAACTGAATAACGGTTAGGTCCATGACTGAATTTGTTTTAAGGGCGAGAATGGAATCGATTCAGATGGACTCGGATTTCCTAAATTCTTCACCACTTTCGATTGCGGAAACAATCGAGGGATTATTATCTGGAAATAAAACGCCGCAACACGTCGACCTGTTCACTTTTAGAGACGCTCTTGATGTTAACTATCAAAGAATGGCCCTTACTGGTGAAGAACTTTCTGGGGTCGGTTCTTATTTTGTCTTCTTTGAGTGACCACCCTATTTGCTTCTCAATTTATTTTGCTTAAATAATAAGTTTGCTCAGAGTGGTGGTTCACTTTGAAATCAGAGTAAGATTTTAGCTCTGCTGCGGCACTGCAACTAAGCAGATCAAAAAAATGGCAAGTCTTTGTATAATGTTTTGATGAGAATTAGGGAATTAAGTAGTAATATGCTGAAAGAAACATGTATCAGTTTTTTGTTTCCAGGTGCCTTTGGAAGACCTAAAGTTTGCTGCAAAAGAAATTATAGAAGCCTTGACTTTGAGGAAGGAGTACATGGATCTTATAGGGAGTAATTTTCCTTCAACTACGAGCCATTTTATTTCAAATCATTATCCTGAAAATCTTCCAAAGAGTCGACGGAAAAACACAGAAACGAGTAGGTCACTTTGAAGCGACAACTGATTTTTAAAACTAGCTTAGAGTACTTCACTTTTCTTAAAATATTTATTCGTGTTGAGGCTTTTTGGTTTTATTATTCTTGTATAAAGCTAAGAGATAATCTTCTTATTTCGCAACTCCTAAGTAATCTGGCTCATGCTGAAATGGCAATGGAATTCAGATCGTTTACTATGTATGTTTTAAGAATTTTCCCACATTCTGTTTTGCACTTCAAAGGTATTGCACCTTTTTTTGGTGATTCAATCAAACTGTTGTCACTTTTTGTGTTGGTTGTTGGTGATTTAATATTCTTAAAGTTAGTCGCTAAGTAAACAGTGTTTCTTTTTTTTGGCGCTGTCTTTTTTTATTTTGGAGAAAAAACTGAGTTTATTTGACTGTTTCTTAATGGTTTAAGATATTCGGCCCGTCATTTTCGAAATAATGGCACCCGAGAGCACAGCAAGAAATAAAAGAAAGGGTATAATGAAGTGTTTTTTCAAAACCTAAGCAGCAAGTTGGGCATAGAAACTAATCGCATGTAAAAGTTGTTACTCCTTTCTCTGTTGCTGTTAAGCTATTCCATTTTAGGAATTGTGTCAACTTACATTTAATTTTTTTGAACCTCTCAAAAGTGAATTTTCCTTACTTTATCAGAATATGGAATGCTCTACTTTATTTATTTAATTTTTAAGGGTAAAAGTACTTACTGCGTTTTCTTCTCTTGTAATAGTTTGTTTTTTACTAATATTTTTGAGTTACAACAAGCCTTTATCAATTGTTTTAACTTTTGTGATAGTAGAGGTGATTTCTCACTTAATTTTTAAAAATTCTATCAAATACTCACTAACAATTCATGCAGCAGTTTCAGTCTTCAGTTTTCGAACTGCATTTGTCTAAAGCATGCATGCATAAAGCCAACACTTGTCCACTGCTTGCCGTGCCATTTTTTTTTTTAGCGTCTCAAACTTCATTTAACCCTCCAGAACCACCAGAAGATCACTGGGAACTCAATATTCCGCTTCCAAAATATGACGTAATCTACAAATTATGTAGGAAAAGCGGCGTGGTGTGTTATTCTTTACCCTAATACTCTCTTGTACCTTAATAACGATCTTTTCATCTGTGCTGCTTATTTTGTCCCGTGTTTTTTTTCCTAGGTTTTAATATGTGACACGGACGGTTGTGTTTCGGACGAGTTCAAACCTTTTTATGTTTCAAAAGAGAAATTTTTGAAAGACACTGATCGACTTACTGCCATGATTGCTGATGGGCCGCTGCAAGTTTCCAAAAAATTTTTGTTTTCGTTGGATTTGTTATTTGTTTGACTAAGGTTTTGATAGCTAAATTAGAGCGTTTTTTTGCTAGGAGTTTTTATGAGCTATATTTCTTTCAGGAAAAGTTTCTGCTTTCGTAGACTGAGTTTCCTCTTAAATAAATTCCAAATGCATACGCTGCTAAATGAACTGCTTGAATTACATGAACAGAAAGAAGTTCCACATAGGGATTTCTATAACATTAGAAAAGTAAGCAGTTTTTGTTATGTCGTCATGGGACAAAATGTGCGGAAATATTGAATGCTATCTTTGTTTTAGGCAACTGTAAAATTTTAAACTTTTTCATGCTATACATGAAGGACGAAATTTAAAGAAGAATGGTGGCTTGGTCAACGAATTTTTTTCAGGTCGATACTCACATTCATGCTGCCAGTTCTATGAATCAAAAGCACCTGTTACGATTTATCAAAAAAAAGATGAAGACTGAGAAAGATACAGTAGTTTTTGAGAAGGTTACTTCACTTTTTTGTTTTTTCTAGCAGAAGGACGGGGGGGGGGGGGGATTTGTTTTATTGAGTATTAAAAACGTTTTTCTGAGCTAAGTTGGGTTTAAAACGTAAGAGGCTTTGGGAAGAACGTGTATTCAAAGTAATCAACTTTGTTTTTATTTTTAAATGATATTTTTTTTCTTTGTTGAGTTAATACTTCTCAATTTCGTTTGGACTAAGTTAAATATGAGTTTTTCGAGAAGCATATGTTAAATATGCAATGTCACAACTTTTTCTATTGGAAATATTTCTATATATCAGATGTTAAATAAGTTCCTTACCTATCATTCACATCGGAAACAATTTTGTTTTGAGAACTGTTTTAAAAATATCTTCCGTCTTGTATGGGAAGGGAAAAATTTTAGGCTGGCTGTCCGATTACGCTTCAGCAGGTGTTTGATGACTTGGGTATTGACGCTTACGACCTTTCTGTAGATATGCTAGATGTACATGCAGATCGAAACACTTTTCATCGGTTTGATAAGTTCAATTCAAAATACAATCCTGTTGGAGAAAGCACATTGCGAGAAATTTTTATTAAAACGGACAACGGCGTTGGTGGCAAGTACTTTGCTGAAGTTTTGAAGGTAATTTGTGTTTGAATGAGTTCAGTATAGTTCAGTATTTTGTTACTCTATTTTTTAATCCTCTTCTAAGCTTTAATTTTTTTGATTTGAGAAAGTTTTCTTTGATGATTCTTTTTATAAACAAGAGTGTTTTTTGTTCGAAGCGCTTGTTAAGGAAGTTTTATCGGATTTGGAAGATAGTAAATATCAGCACGCCGAACTGAGGCTCTCAGTTTACGGCAGAAGTAAGGATGAATGGGACAATCTAGCTAAATGGGCTATTGACCACGATGTTTATTCAACGAATGTCCGGTGGCTTGTACAGTTTCCGAGACTTTAGTGAGGATTTTGTACTTTTTCAAAATTTTTTTTAGTTTTTTTTTTTGAGGCTGAATGTCTTGTCTTTTAGTGATATTTATTATGCTCGCGATATGTTGAAAAGTTTTGACGAAATGCTAAATAATTTCTTCACTCCGTTGTTCGAAGTCACAAACGATCCTCAGTCGCATCCTCACCTTCATCGTTTTCTTGCTTTTGTCACTGGTATAGATTCCGTGGATGATGAAAGCAAGCCCGAATACATCCAGGTCCGTATTCATAATAGTTTTGTGATAAAACTTAGAATGTTTCACTATTTTTTTAAATTTTGCGTTTTTATTTGTTACGATTGACGTTACTGTTATTTTAATTATATTACATAAATTCCAGTTTGACAGAACAACACCAGACCCTGATAAATATCGAGATGCCGAAAATCCCTCTTACAGCTATTACCTTTTCTATATGTATGCAAACTTGGTTGTATTAAATGCATTTAGACGGTATGCTGATAGTTTTAAAGGAACTTCTTATAGAGTTTGTTTCTTATACTTTACGTACTTACATTTATTTTGGTCATTATTGACGCTGTTTACACACTTCAGGCGACGCGGCTTGAACACTTTTTCGCTGCGACCTCATTGCGGTGAGGCAGGTCATGTAAACCATCTTGTTGCTGGTTATCTAACCTCAGAAAGTATTGCTCACGGGCTTATGTTGCGAAAGGTTTGTCTGTCATCTGCCGTCTTTGTTTTAATGTAACTTTCAATAAGTTGCTATTAAGTGAGTTTAATAAAAATATTGTCTTGGATTGACAAGCTATTCTGCTTTTTATTATATTGTTTATAAAGCTCCAGAGAAGTCATGTACATAAAACCCATTAGTTTTTAAAAATATTTGTTGGTTGTAAGTGTCAAAATTTTTAATGAACTTATGGGTATTAATATTTCCAGGTGCTTTGCACTGAATTTGCCATGAATTGCTGTGTAAAAACTAAGTAGATGAGCTTCTTTTGATAATTTTGTTTTTCAAATCCTTGTCTGTTGAGAGATGTTCCAAGTGTGCTAGGGTTTCAGTAGCGATGGTAAAGCTGTTGTTAGCTTTTAATTTGCCAAATTTTCTCACGAAGTAACTCAAATTTTCTCACCTTACTGTAAAGTAGATGTAAAGCTTGGTCTCTTTGGGTTAAAGGGCGAGGATTGTGCAATACGGTGAATTTATGTGGGTTCTAACAATCACTGTCATACCTTTTGGTTTCAATTTTTTTTGAAGATTTAGTGGTTTAAATTTAGAGTTGTTGAAATTCTTGGACAGTTAATGCGGTAATGATCAAAAATCTAAAGACTTTAAAAATTACTCGAATTTAAAAATTTGTGTCGTAGTTTCTTCAAACCATTATTTTTCAGTTATAGAAAGATGTCTCTTTTCTTGCAACTCGTACGAGTTGCTGAAATCATTCTCTAGCTTGTACAGTATAAGCCTTTTCTAAGTTTTAGGTTCCTGTTCTTCAGTATTTATTCTACTTGGCTCAAATTGGCATTGCGATGTCACCTTTGAGCAATAATTCTCTTTTTATCAGTTATCATCGAAATCCTCTTCCTGATTATCACATGAAGGGGCTAAATGTTTCATTGTCGACTGATGATCCCCTACAATTTCATTTCACTAAGGTGAGTTTAACATTTTTATAAAGCAGTCAAAATTGTATTACATTCTATGACTGTAAATAACACATCTTTGTGTCACGGCGTTTCCTGCACTTTTTTAGGAAGCTTTGATGGAGGAATACAGCATTGCTGCTCAAGTTTGGAAACTCAGTAGTTGTGATATGTGTGAACTAGCCCGTAACAGTGTTTTGCAGAGTGGATTTGAGGATAAGGTTATCAAGAATATTTTTCAAGACTCATCTGTAGTGCAACGATTAGTAAACAGTATTTCATCGTGACATTGTATATTGTTCTGCTGTCAATTTTACAATTGTGCATTAATTTGAGGCTGAGAGGCTTATTGGGGAGGTCGGCATGAAAAAGACATTTTCAGACTAAATCTCATCTCCCAATGACAAATAGGCTCCGAACTAATGAAAAGGAATATTAAAAGGAATTCTAGTGTTTATACAAGAATATGAAAAGCACTTCCAGCACTTTTTGAGTAGATTCACTACTCAAATGTATAAAAAATTTCACTGCATTGTACAGCAGAGTATTACATAAATATACAATACTCAAAAAAAGAGATAAGAGTGTGTTTAACAATTTATTTGTAACTTTTTAATATCTTCAATACGACACTTGCATTATTCAAAAAAAAAGTTTGAATAGGGCTTTTATCATTGAAGGTTGTGAGAATTATTACAACAAATTCAGTAGGCATGTAATCTTGGTCGAATTTTAGGTAAAGATTCATTGGCTTGGTCCAAATTACAAAGAAGAGGGTGTTCTTGGTAACGATGTTTCTAGGACCAATGTGCCGGATATTCGGGTTTCCTTTAGACACGAAACACTTGTGGATGAACTCTACAACGTGTTTAGAACGAAGAACTTTATTTGACGGAATCTCGTGTTAGTTTCACTTCATTCTGCGTTACCTTCTTGTTTATCAAAAATTCTTTGTCTCATTGAATCTGTATTTGGTTGTTGTTAATACGTTGATTATGTTCAAACTTTTAAGCCGCTAAGTTATGTGTTGTTTACTGCCTAACTTGTACTTGTTTTAGTTCAATAGACTCCTCATTTTTTTCTTTTCAGGTGTATTTCTTTTTCACGTTCTAGAGAAAGTCTTTTGGTTTCTTAATTAAATGTCGCGTGACAAGTGAATATTTTTCAACCAACAGTTGTATATTTAAGGTTTTGAAGGGTTGGAAGAATTTACTTGACATGCAGCTATTCATTGCTGATAAATTTACTGTACTAATATCTGATAAATGTATTAAAACATCAAGTTTTTGTGTTAATAATTTCCGTTTAGTGGCGCATCTGTTTAAGTCGTGTTGAGTTCTGCAGAATCATTGGAAATGCTATAAATGTTGCATTTTTTCGGTTATTCTTTTCTTGTCATTAGTTTTATTAATGAGTGGTACACATAGTTCTCAACATGAAGAGCTGTAGTGGCCCACAACGGTTCACAACAATATGCACAGCCTGTTTTAATAGGTATTGAGAAGGTGAAGTGTTTGCTGAGATTACGGTTGGGGAGAAGTTTGGAGTCTAACTGATGCATGAGGAGAAGGAAAAAGACTGTAGGGAAACAATAGGGAAGATACTAGACAGGGGTAGTTTTACTTTTGAAACAAACGACAACTAATTATTTTATGCTCTTCTGTCACTCTGTATTTTCAGTAATCAAACAGTTTAAAGCTGGCGAGAGACGGTTGGGAAATAAAATAACAGAGGAACGCTGGCTTTAGTTTAGAGACTTTGTTTTTGAACTGGATAGTGCGGAGTGTGAATTTTTTTTACAAGTAAATTATTAATTGCTTACATGCACTTTGCTGACTGCTGAAAAACAGCCTTAACTGAAGCTGAGAAGTACTGAGGTCATAGTTTGTCGTATGATGTATACTGGTCATCTCCGTCAAGGATGTTTGACAACAAAACTGCAACAGTGGTTTTTGATGGCGGCATTGCCTGAGCGGTTAGGGGATTTCTTGTTCTTTGTGTTGCATCAGTTTCCGGATGAGTGTAAAACTCTAGAATGACTTTGAAAAAGTTTTTGTATCTTGTTATTTTGAAGAGATGTGGTTTTGAAAATTAAATTGATTAATTTACAAATAATTTTCGCAACTAGGTATGGCATACTTTTTGGGGTGACCAGAGGGATCGGTGTTGTCGGTATCGCTGAGCTGCGAAGGGCTTCCATAAGAAATGTAGATACATCGTAAACTTTCGTGTTCTTTGTCCATTCGTCGTGTTTTGTTTTCACTTTCTCCTGTGCTATAAAGTAAATCATCGACACATAGATGGTTGCAAAATATCGCTGTGTTAGTACGATGAATTTTTTTGTGGTTTAAATTTTTTAATTTTTTTAAATATATTTGTGGACTAGTGGCTTTTTGCTACAATAGTTATGGTAGCTAAAAATAACGTCTTTAGGTATATTTATTGGAGTTTGCAAACTACATTTTGTTTCCGATAATTTTGTTGTGGATCGAGATGCGGAATTGGCAGCCGATGGGTGTTTGTTGATCATTGTGAATTTACGTCCACCGCTCCTTGAAAATGACTGTGTGTTTTGAGTCTCAGTGTCGTACTGACGTACTGTATCTAATGCATCTGAAAATTTCTGCGTGAATGGTATTTGAAATGAGTCCGATTTATTTATTAATTAATATCCAGCGGACTTCCCCAATAATTATTTGTCAAATACATAGGTGCTACAGCATTTTAGGAAATTTTTATCGTACCGGAATGTCGCATTTGGACATCTTCATAGGTCATAATTGGTATTCTCGTAGTAGGTCGTACAATACGAGATGTAAAAGTGCGAACTGGGCTGCTAGAAAGCGAAGGACGCCACTTGGTAGTTGGCCGTTTTGTAGCCGTGTAATATGAGTTTCTGAAAGAGAAATATTTCCGTTATGAACAGTATGCAGGTGGTATGGCAATGAGAATCCTAACTTATGGGTTTCTCTTCTTGAGCTAGTTGGATAACGAGTTTCTGTAGAAACGTCACTCCCGCGTGGTTCTGAGTCCTCTCTCTCGAACTTGTTACGTCTTAACGCTTCTTCATTTAAAAGCATTTCAATTTTTTCCAGCAGATCCCTATAACAATTATTTGTTGTAACACGCCGTAGAAGCATTATGGCTGCGTGACGAAGGCGCTAATTTCTATCAAGTTATTAGTGATATCCAATGGTCCTTGATAATTTCATCGTTCAAGAGATTTTGGCTTCTATTGCAGTTCTGCGTACCCGTTCCTGAACTTACCCTTTTTTGCTATTAAAATGCCTTCTTTTTTCCTCTACAGGGCTCTTGACCCTCCTGACTCGTCTGCATTAGTTTTAAGCTTGTCTACGAGCTTATTGCTAGCTTTCCGTTTGTCTAATGGCAAAATTTCCTTTCAATTCTTGTGATATTTCAAAGCTGCTTTGATGGTAGAGGTGTGATGAACGTGATGTAACGAATAGTGATTGCGTTTTGTAATTGTGTGTCGTTGAATTCGCCCACCTTTACACCTTAACCTTTGTTTTCTTGGGGGGACCTGCTACTTTAGTACTGTTTTTTAGTTCCGTTGCCTTCATAATACAAAGTTTCCAGCAAAAATTGAACAAAAATTTCTTTCCAGAAAAAATCGTAAGATCTGTGTTTGAAGCAGTTTCATAACCATTAGTTATTTCCACACAGCGGTCTTGAAAAAGGCAATATAAAACGATTAATGGGACAGATAAAGTATTTCTCAGCTCTCATAATCACCTTTTACAGTGGATCAGTAATTTTATTGTACACAGCTAAAGCGTTTTGATTTAGTCAGTGTATTTGAGCAAACCAAAAAATGATCAATAAATGAGAGAACTATGGGTAGGGATTGCATAAGGATGGGTTTGAACCTCTCAGGTCCCTGGGATTACGGCTAAAAAACGCAAACGCTATCGATTACACCAGGTTTTTCTAGACTCCCGTAAGGATTAGAGTGAATTTTTAGCGGTAGACTGCTAGAAAGTTAGCAACAATTGAATAGATAAGTTTGAGACTTTAGCAGATGGATCAGACGGCATTGGAAACCCCAGGTAGAAGTAAGGAAGGTGTATAATGCCAAACTAAATTACTTTTTAGGAGAGGTACGTTCAATTGCAGTAACCGTTAATTTGACATTAAACGCATTAGGTTATTACTTTGGAGACAAAGTTCGTCCTTCTTTGTCATTTTTGAAATGTGCACCAATCCGTTCAAGTATCGCTGCTTCAGAGGCTTCCACTGTTTTTTCGTGGCTGGGATTCTTCGGCCGTTTTGTCGTTGAAAGGCGAGCTTGAATTGGTGTTTTGGATGACGGAGACCTTCGTGATGAAGTCGTTAAACTGACATGCTTTGCATTTTTGGACCTTGGTTGGTAGTGGCTTGTTGGCTCTGGCGCAGTAGTTCGAGTACGTAAGGGAACTGTTATTTCTTCTACTGGTAGTTTTTTTTGTTTCTTAGTAGATGCTGTACGCCTGCTAGCGAAAGGATTTTCATTTGGCTGGTTTGATGTTAGGTCGATAATCTGGGTTGATCCAGACAATGCTGCTATTTTTTGATGAGGTTTTTGCAGAAAAGGAAACTGATCGGCAGAATGTGGGACCTCTATACGTGGTGTTGGTTTGATTTTAGGAGTAACAGGCTGCGATGGTCTGGTTTTTATGGACTGTGTTTTTGCTTCTGAGAGTGTTAGCAGCTTTTTAGGATTGTGGATTGCTACTTGTGGGAACATGATGTTTGGCGATGTCATTTCATAAGAATATGTTTCTTCCTGTGTTTGGGTAGGGCCTGAAAAATTAGTCGGCTGACTAGCTAATAAGCTAATACAAGGCAAGATTAAATTTTGAATGCTCTAAATGTATTGGTTTGCTGTAAGTCAGAACGTGTAATCAGCCAAAATGTTCTAAAGACTTTTACAAAAGAGAAGTAAGAGGAACGTAACTTTTTTTGGTAATTTTCACCATTTTGTAAGAGAATTTTAATAAAAATGAATTAGATTTTCCAAATTTTTTCTGCCGCGTTAATCTCTCGTTAACTACCAATTTGAGCTTGCCCCTCAGAAACAACAATTATGTGTTTGCGTTTTGACCAAGCAAATCTTAGTTCATTAGAAAAAACAAATGTGTTTTTTTACAGATGACTCATTAACGAGCTCATTTCCTAAGAAATTAGCTTGTCGCTTGTAACGATATATAACACTGGTACAGAATACGGTGTAATAAAACGTGTCATCTGCTAAAGGGGGAACAATAACCATGCTGAACTTTGCTTACTTGGTGAGGTAATTGTTGCTACTTCGTCCTCATAGTTGCTTTCGATTTGTGTTGGTTCCTGTTCTTCAGTAACAAATTCTTCGCTATAAGTAATCGGTAGTTCTGTAACTGTTGTAGTTCGTGGATTATGAGGATAACGAGTTTCTGTTATCCTGCTGATAAGCGATGATACAGGGTTTATGGACGGTCTGACGCTTGTAGTTTGCCTTACCAAAGTAGTTGCCTTTACGGTTGTCACTTCCGTTTCAAAAACTGGTACTTCTGTTGTTGCACTTTTCACTTCCGTTGTTTCCTTTCCATCTTTTTTGGTAATGTCCGTGGAATCTTTGTAGTCAAATGGCGAATTTCGAGAAATTGACGCCATTCTATGCGAGAAACTTCTAAAACTTGTGTGAACGTTCGCGTTGTTTAAAAGACAGTTAAATATTGGAAGATTTTCACATATTTGTTCATTAGTTAAATGAGCAAGTAATTGTCACTAATCCTTTCATATGAAGAAAATGATTTTCACAGAGCTGGTTGAAGTGTATTGTTAGTATTGATTAATATGGACCTTAATTGTGCTAAAGTTCAAAATGACGGATTAGCGAAGAAATTGTGTAGTTTTTTTATGATTGAAATTTTATGGTTACAGCCACGTTAATTGATTATAAGACACACCTTCACTGCTCAAGAGGAATGGGAACTTTTAGGAAGAACTTACAATGGATAATCGATGGTTCTGGCGCAGTAGGCTTCATCTGATTTGTCGGGGCACTGTTCGATGCCGTCACACAGTTGAAACATTGGAATCTTTTGATTACGATCTTCACATAAAAATTCTTGTTCTTTTGACATTTTACACAGAGCTTCGTCATCCCCAGTTAGGCAGTGAACGACTCCATCGCAGCGTTGAGATGCGTCAATACACTGCTTTGACTTTCTGCAGTAGAAACCACCGGATGGACATTCTAAAGTTTGGATGAGAATTCCCTCTGTGTTTAAAACGGACATTGAATTATAATCAAAGAGTTTCTTAAAAAATAATGACGGGATTATATTGACAGTTAACTAGGAAATAAAATTAATCTAATGCTTAGTATCACTTATAGGTTACGACCAAAAAACCTCTCTTATAGTCTTTCATATTTTCTCTTCTGCAGTAAGAAATTTCCTTAATTTCTCGCTAAATTTTCATTTATCTTTATCGAAAGCTTGAGACTGAGCTAGGAAATGGAAGGCGACTGCAATGGCAAGTGAGGAAAATTTTAAAGGGACCGTTGCAATTCATTTCATCCGTACGATCCGTGCAATCTGGAAAGCCATCACATCGTCGTTTCATAGGTATACACTGCTCAGAAGCAACACAGGGGAAGTAATTAGGCTCGCACATTGCTGTAATGCGTTTTTTAAAGCCTTTCTTTCAGGTTTAAAATATTAAAATAGTTTCGTCGTGTCTTCTTTTCAAGGAAAGAGAAGGCTTAACATATTCACAGTTTGCTGTAGACAGCAATTCATCAACTTACGGCAGTTTTGTTCATCTTCTTCAAGTACACAGTCATATTTACCGTCACATCTTTGACTCATATTAACGCATTTTTCTGATAGTGGGCAAAGGAACTGTTCTGCAGTACAAGAGTCTTCTGAAAATTGGCTGGTGAAAAATTAGAAAACGGTTTAAGACGAAGGCATTATGCCCACCCAGCTGTTACTGGCGCTTGTCTCCAGCTCTGTTTGGCACAAAATTTCAAGGAGTGTCATACTTCTCTCAGGTCTTCTAAATCTTTTTAATTCTAATAATATATTTTAAAACATAATACTTTGAAGAAGTATCTAGTAAGCATGAATAAAAAGAATGAAGTTAATAAAAATACATTGTGGTAAACTGACTGATTTCTAGCAAACAAAAAAAGTACATTTTTATATTACTGTAATTTCTTAAGTACACAAAAGCTGATTTTATTTTCTCCCTAAGATTTTATTCTAATATTAAAAACTGGAAAATGAAAAAAAAAATTATTTGGTTTTTTTTTTTGTATTGAAGGATGCTTGTCTTTTGTTTGGTGATGGATACTAAGAGGGCCCGATAGATGGTCTTTCTGAGATACACAGAAGTTCTACTTTGATTGGTTGATTACTGAACTGACTAATGTTTGTCTACCGCTCGTCTATGACAATTACAAATTCAGCAACATACTTTTGTAATTTTATTAAAACCTATTCGTTAAATTCTATATAACTGCCAACGGAAAACTAAAAAAAAAAAAAGTAGTAAAACAAAGAAGTGATCGCACAATGTTTAATTAAAACGTTTAAAATGTCAAAAATGGAACTCATAACTTCTTTGGGAAATAAGAGTGATTTAAAAGAAAATTGTCCAAATATTTACTCTCTTACACATACATCAACACATCAAACTGACCAGTTTATGTAAAATTGCTTTTCTGCTTCTGTTTGTGATTCAAAGTCATATCCTTCAACGCTGTAACGCTTTATAGCTTAATTTCTAGGAATTACAGAGTGAAAAAGGTATACCTATTAATTCGACCAAGTTTATCAGTTATGACTACTTCAAAAACCAAAGAGATCTATAGAAAATGAGAAGTCATGCGGTTTTGACAGATTCTTAGCTGCAAGACCTGTACCATTCGAGAGGTTTGTAGTAATTATAGGGTAATTTAAGCTGAAAAATATGTAAAACAAACGAGCGTTTACTGTATGCGTCATTTTATGTAGGCAGTGTTCCGTTTTTAGTAAATTTTAATTCACCAGTCAATTTACCGTTCAGCATCATCATCATCATCATCATCATCGCCATTCAGCATAACTGTCTAAAGATGCTTACGAAACTTGACTGATGTTGACAACTAGCGGTCAACAAAAAAAAAAAAAAAAAGATATCTAAACAAACTCTTGCGGCTACCTTTTATTCACCTCTTCTGCCTATCTGTATTATAACAAAATAGTCGAAATTAAAGCGCAACGAAAGTGATATTATCACTTTAAAGCTAATAAGGCAGTTACCAGCAAAGGAACGCATTGCACAACCCTTTACATTGTAATCGTAATTGCAGTTTTGAGTTCCTAGTGTATCGTAAACCAAACCTAAAACAATTTCTTACAAACTAAAGTCTTGAAAAACTGTGAAAAACAGTCAGAAGAGTATTAAATTCAAACTATTTTTTTTTGGCGAAGAAAGACACGTGGAATAGAAAAGGAACGAGGAGAAAGAAAATGAAAACCGGAAAGAATAGAGAAACAACATTTCAAATGCATTAAAATAATTGTTCTCATTAAACGAATGAACAGTTTTATTGGTTTGACTTTAAAACAAAAAGTTTAACAAAAAGTATATAAATTATAAGATGACTTTAACACAGTTGATTACAGTCAAGTTTTAGGCGTTTTTATACAAAACTTTCTAAAATGAGTAGAACAAAAGTTGCTTTGTTGATTTCGTGTAATTTTAATTGATCAGCTAACTGTTATAAAAATTCGGTTTTTCGTTACAACAAAAAATAAAAGGAAAAAGAAAGACTATCTGTATTGAGACGTGCTACAATGTGCAAACTATTAATAAAAAGTACCAGTCATCGGTAAATAAGATAACTGCTTCAAAATTTTTAGTGGTCATTTAGTAGGGTGATGTAGTAGAGCTAACAATAGGTGTTAAACCGTTGTGAAAACAAGCTTTTCAATAGGTTTCGTTCTATATAGCAGAATGGAAGATTTTCAACAATACAAAAAAAAAAAAATTTTGTTTTGCAAAAATCAAATATAGTTAATTTTTTTACTTTGTGCAGTTTGTTGACACTCTTACTTTTCGCTAACCGGTATGTATTTGATAAAAAGGTAATAGGACCAAAGAATTGTCTCTTTTTGAGTATCATCAGTTACAAACAAATCATACAAAATTATCGGTAGTCGCTATCAGTGTGGACAAGACAACTATTCTCTAGCTTCTAAAATTCAGTAAAACAGCAATGCCAAGTCAGCTAGACAGCTGTAGAGAAAAAACGCGAAGCACTTAACAATTCACTGTGAACAACTTATTAAAATCAGAGTTTCTTACATTTTTTGAACCAGAAAGTGTACGCTTCATAAAAAGAAAAAAAAGCACAAAACAATAAAAATTCAAAAGAACTTGAGAAAAGTTACAGCAAACTACGTTAATTAAAAAAAGCAACAAAACCTGGTCGACAAAGTTTCTTGTAGGTACGAAAACCATCGCTTTGCCAACGACAGTGAAAAAATTCAGCACTGCATTCAAAGCCCAAGAATTGTCCAAGAGTTGATCGAATTAGACCAGCACTCTCAATCAGATCTGAATTATTGCAGTAATTCGGAAAATGCTCGACCAGTTGGCTGGCATCAAGTAAATCAATTGCTTTAGCTTCCGAAAAACTGCAACTTGTTAACAGTAAATATGCAGTGAAGGATAGGTAAAGTAGCAGCAAACGTTGTATGATTGGTGTTGTTGATTGCGGCTGCTGGCAAAACATAATCCACTCAGTACAGATACATACAAATAATGCCGAGGCTTTATTGAGGTATGTTGCCGCTATAAAAGATTTTTTGCAGTATCTTCGATGGTCAGGTCAGACTGCTTCACTTTTTCGCGCACAATTAGCTCACACCCATTTGTCATCGATATGTCAACTGTTATCCAAAAATTCAACAACGAACGCCAACAACTACTCTTACTGAATTTTTCTGTTACCGTTGCTGTTGCTGCTGCATAATCATCATCACCAAAATCGTCATCATTATCTTTATTCATAGAAGATGAGACTATGTTATTGCTACTTCTGATAATCAATAAAACTCAGTTTTTCTGCTTAATTTGAAGAGAAAAAAAAGAACAACAACACTGACCAGCAACAGCAGCAACAGCATCGTTGACCATCTGTTCAGATCACATAATTAATTTTTTACTTTTTTTAGACACAGTTTCAAACAGCTTTAGTAGACAACAACGACACTTGAGTCACTGTCTTTTTTTTTTTTTTTTTTGTTTTAACAATAATTAATAAAAGCTTCAATAAATTACGATTTTCTATATATGATACTTGATACTTTTGATTGAATCAAATCACAAGAGTTCAGATTTTATTACTGAGAATTTTTAAATGATCGTTGTATAGAGACAGCCGATTAAAACTTCAGTTTGGGTTACAAACTAAATTAGGTATCTTAGATTGTTGCTCAAAGTTCTCTTTGGCATTTTGTAAAAACAAAAAGTGAAAAAATGTGGCAGTTAACACCGTAAAAGTGACAAAAATTACTCAAAAAAAAGTTGTGAAAATACTTTGCTTTTCTTCTACTTTTTACAAAAAAATATTTAAAAAATTATCTAAATTTTTATAAAGCTTTAAACCTAAGTCGAATACCGCTACTTTTTTAGCAGTAAACAGTACTATTACTCACAACAGTAAAGAAAATTGAAGACTGTTGCAGATGTAATTTTATAAAATTAAATTGTTGTTAAAAAAAAGAGCCTTTAAAGTGCTATCGTCATTTGAAATATTTTACAATTTAAGTGTTTTTGTTCTATAATGCCAGAACATCTTAACGTTTACAGCTTAATTGGTTGTTATTGAGATGCAACAATAATCTGTTTAAACCTTTCCTTGAAACTAGCCTGATAATCAGCAGTGCCTTAATGACAATGGTATCGTTTTCCAAAGTCTCGCTAACAAAACTCGCTGCTGTATTTCAAAAAGTTTTTTAAGTTTGAAAATTGAAAAAGCACTGAATCATTCATCGCTGTATGTGCTTTATCTTTTTTTCACTTCTTGTAATGATTTAAGAAAGTTTTTAAAGAATTCTGCATAGTTTGAATATGTGATTGATATAATTCAAAAACAAAAAATGCTTGTTTCAAACGAATTCTACATTATCATTTTTTACAATAACACAATTGTTCTCAATAACTCTGTACAACTTAAAAAACCGGTAATTGTTCTTTATTCTTGATCCACTAGGTGCTTTTGATTGCAAGATGTACGGTTAATAAACAGTTGATCTTAGATATACATTCTCAGCTAAAAAACTTTTTTCTTTATTCAAAATACCCTTGTCAAACAACGATTGCAATTTGTTTTAGTATAATTGTTCGACTAAAGTATCAAATGTAAATTAATTTGTAAATTCAGAACAAAAAAATTGATGCATTAAAGGTAATTAGTTTTTAATTACCTTTTATAATGTAGAAAAAGAAAATTGTGCTTTTTTTTTTTTAAAATTAAATGTCAATAGCTTTTTTTAAGTACTTTCTTTCTGCTCTTTTTATTCTGAGGTTTACGATTGGAATAGTCAAAGATTCACTAAAAATTTGCAGTATACACATCTGTATCCTTCTTCGCTGTCTTTCTATTCAGCCAGTGTTTCATTGGCAGTATTTCCAAAGCTACTTTTTGTTTATCGAGCTCAAATGAGCAAGGAAACAACATACAAAGCAAAAGTTACCGAACGCTAAATTGAGGCTGTGCAAGTGACGTTGGTATGAGCGAAGTGGCCCTCTCAGGAGAAGTGCTGATTCTCATCGCCCGATGATCAGGAGATCAAAATCTGTAATCAAATTCGTCTTTCACGAACCATATGCAATTAATATGAATGACTGCTCAAAACTAGAAATTAGACTAAAGTAATGTGATTTATTATTTGTTTAACTGGTCACAATCTTAATTAAAATGCATGTTGTTTTTTTTGTCAAGTCAACGTACAACAGTGGCTTCGCCAGTCTTTGTAAACAACACGATGCTCAGCAACTGATAAGCATACAAATTTTGGTTTGTACGTTTCAGTTTTACCTTCGTGAATTTCAAGTAAAAAGTTTTAGGAAAAAGCTAGAAAAAATAGTTTACTGAAACAACAATTGCTGATTTTAAAGTTGAAATATACAGCAAAAATCAAAGAGATTTTCAGTTCCAGTCAATTAATTAATGATGCAAAAAATGGGAGAGTAGAAAACAGAAAATATATACCAAAACATCTTAAAGCTGCTTATGTGTCTTTAAATCTTTAAAAAAAGATGACTTTTTTGCATTTTAATTACAAAATTTTAACACGGAGAGGATTTTTAAGTAATACCACTCAAGCTAATTTAAATTTTACATTTAGCCGCTGACCTCTGAGACTTCAGGATTGCAAATCACAGACTTTCTTTTTCAAAGCTGTACAGAAAAGTAATCTTGTTTTATTGATTATGCAAAATTAACCTACCACTTGACCGCACGTATCTTAATCAATGTTAGTAAGAAAACTTAAGGTATTAAGGTACAATTTAATGACGATTTTCAGTAGTACTTTAGTGTTTCTTAATGTTTCTGGTACTATATAAATGTCTGATTCAGTCTTTTTGTAAGTATTGAAATCATAATGATACAAGGCGTATCTCAACGTCTTTTGATATATTTCTATTAAGTTTCAGATATTTTTTAAAAATTTCTGTTGTTAAAAAATCCACCTGACTATTTACTATATAGGTATTTCTCCGGTAAAGGTTGAATCAACTTTGTTCTGTTCTCTTCTAAACGAGTTTGGCTTTATTTAGTTCTTTTCTGTACTTGAACGCCTGTCTATCTACGCTAATTAAGTTTCACACGGTAAATTACAGTCCTCATTGTAATCTACGCATTTCTAACTATCATCGCAGAAAACGGTTTAATTTGCAGGGGAGGAAGCAAAAAATAAACTTCATTTTCATCGTACCTATACATGCCTGAGCATGCTGCAGAAACCGGCTGGTCACTATTACGATGAAAGTAAATCGTAAGTGAAAGAAGCACAGGAGCACACCAGTTCAAATTCAGAGGTAGTTGTTAAACAGAAAAACAGAAACTGCTTATGCCTCTGCCGATTCTGCTATTCTTTTCTAAATAGACAGCTGAAAAGTCTGCACCAAACATTAAGAGGAGGTATTACTAACCTGGTTTAAGCCGTACGAGTGTAGCGAATAACTTGCTGTTTTCCAGTTTCAGAGTATTCAGAAACGACCTAACGTGTAAAAAAAGTTACCAGAATTTAGAATAGAAAAAACCAGTAGAGACCTAATATGATGACGAAAAACTAAAAACTTCTCATCTTTTGTTTTAGCAGGCTATCGCAGTGACAAGATTAATGGAACGGAGGATCCCTTTCAGTAATTTAATCAAACCATAACGAAAACCAAAGACAAAAACTGAAATTACTTGCTAAACTTTTTTTTTTGAGGATTAATTAGAAAAACCTTTTTTGAAACGTTATTTGAATTTTTAAAGACGTATTAGAGATAGGATGAAAAATTCTGTTGTAGATCATCGATTTGCCAATATGTTTCATAAAAGATAAACTACATTTTTTTGCGCTATAAAGAAAGAATGTGGCAAAACTAAAAAATTTTTTGCCTCTCTCATAAACTCCCAAGAACTGTATCTAAACTTTTGCCGAAAAAAATTTAGCTCTCTAATAGGTATAACAGCCTTGGGCCTTAAGTTGCATTGGTTGCTGAAGCACCTAGTGAAAAATAGATATCAACGTGATTAACACCCTAAAAACAGTGATATCAAATGAATCAATTATCAGTCGCACATGAACCAATGTAATCGCAGTGACCTTCTACTCCTAAAGAGCCTTTCGGAAAGTCACGCTTCCAATTTTTCTTGGCGAGGTTTTCAGTGAATTCACGAAAATCTGTCTCAAAGTTCATTCCTAGAACTTCATATCTACGCCTGATGTCAGTAAGACATTTTTTGAGCACTGCTTTCAAGGCCACGACTAACCTCTTAAAAGAGAGTCTGTTCGATTTTGAGACTATGTACATGGCAACTGTATTCAAGCAGTCCACAGTCAGATTTATATACCGGGTGTGCTGCCATCAAGTTCACTAATGACAGCATGAAAAATCAAGATATCTCGTAGTTTTTTACCTTTCATTTTAGTTTTGGCAATTCAAATTTTTGTACTTTTTGAAGAGGCGCGAGACGAATAATACTTTTTTTACGGTTTCTTTAGATTTTTCCTGATAATAATTTGCTGCATTTTTCATTTTAACTACTACTTTTACTGTTTACTGTTTGCAACACTTTTAAATAAATATCATCAAATTTAATTAAACACGAATTTAAGTTTTTGCAAAGTGAATTATAATTTTTTAAGTGGTCAGCTGGCGTAAAGTTGAATGTAACAGATGTCTAGTTTGAAAGGAACAATTTGATGCACATTTTTAAATGGATCTTCAAGGTTTCCGTATAACAGGTGCGGTGAGTTAGTCTACTGTAATTTTTACGCAGTTCTATAGGCTGCGAACTGCTCTTGGATACGAATAAAAGTGTTGCGATTTAGCACAGTATTCTTGTAAATGACAACTTCAAGCAGGTAGAGCAATTCTGAGTTACTGGACTGTGCAGAAGAATTGGGCTTTGTTAAGTTTGTAGTAATCTGCGAGCAACCTCTTTTGGCCAGCTAAGGTGCTTTTTTGTTTAAATTTATAGCCGTCTTAAAAATCTTCGGGAAATCGGTC